AATAATAATAATAATAATAATAATAATAATAATAATAATAATAATAATAATAATAATAACGGTTTATTCACAGTATATCCACATAAAAAGGTGTGGCTCTTCATCTGTGAAGGCCTACGATACTAAAATTTAATATTAAAACTAATTTATAATGACTAACTAAATTGTAATAAAAACTATACATGAAAGTAAATATGCAGAATATATTGGTTGGTGGTGGTGGTTGTTTGTATATCTTTACAAGGAAGACAAAGCGCGTGCCTTCAAGAACGCCTTGCAGAGCCTGCAGTATTCTTTAAAATCTGTGCAATTCCTTATATAATTGTTTTATTAAAACGTTAAATTAAATTATTAAATTTTATTAAATTTTTTAGCTCCCTTTTAATTTTAAGCTGATGCGTACACTTACCATATTTGTAGATTATGGTATATTGGCTCATATAACATACTGGCTAAGCCAATAAAAAGTCTTGAATTGCATTATCCAATTATCCAGTTTTTACTAATGTAAATTAGCCACTGACCATAAAGAAGTTCTAAAGCTAACGTTTTAAGCGTTAGCTTTTCGTCAGAGCAAAAGCTTCACAGCACCACAGTTTCTTTAGAAACGCACCCCTTTTCATCCTTTCGTCAGTTAGACAGTCACTTAGAGACTCTGTTAGACAGTTTGTCAGTGAGTCAGTCAGTTGATCAGTGAGTCACTTAGTTGGTGAGTCATTCAGTCAATCAGCCAGAAAGACAGTTAGGCAGCCAGTTAGTCAGGATTGATGCACTCGGTTGTGGTGTCCCTATGTTTCTTCTTACAATCAGTATTTCTTGTGGTTTAGCTTTTCGACTTGTGAATACCAAATCCATGTTTCTTGTGGATCAATGGAAGAAAGTCAGCCACTCCAACCTCGTCAGTCTCAGAGAAGTCTTTACGACAAAGTCTTTTGGAGATAACTGTAAGTGTGCAGAAGAAAAGAACGTATTTTACCCATATCAGAAAACAATGGCATGGAACAATTTCAATCTCCTGTAAGTCCCTGAAACAAATTCATTCGTCTCCGGTGATGACCCAGTTCATGGGACACATGTCTACTTGTAGTGACTTGAAAAGAATATTTTTATCATTCCTAGTAGAAAACAGATTAAATGTTTTCCACCTGTAAATGGCCAGAGCTGATTTGATTCTGGCAATCTAAAAGCACGCACATTTCTTTAATCGAACGTTCGACAGGCATGGATTTATAAGTAGTGGTCAAGATAGAGGTTAGGAACTGATGTAGAAGTTGTACATTTGCGCTTGTAAAGTGAATTATCACTTTCTTCGACAACACTTATCAACCACTCTCATTCGTCATACAGCGCTCGTCTTCGTATACGACTACCATCCTGGAGCCGAAACACTCCTTATGAGGCATTTTTCGGGTCCAGACTCGAATCTTCCCGTGAATCCCGATGGTGCATTAGTCTTTCCCTCGCATCCTCGTGCCGGTGGAATGCCAAACAGACACCGGTCTGGTCACCGTAGTCCAATGCCTGAACGGCTTATTTGGAGTTACATTATTCAGCTGTCTTCTGCACTGAGAACTGTGCATGCATCTGGACTGGCCTGTAGAGTGATTGATCCTTCCAAGATTTTATTAATTGGAAATTCAAGGTGAATGTGCAAGTGTTCGTTTCATGTGAGAGTTGTGTTCTCTTCTTTTCGATTTTCTCCTTTGGAACTTACTTAACATATTGACGTTCATATTTTTTTCTCCTCAGATTAAGAATAAATGGCTGTGGGATATTTGATGTTCTCAGTTTTGACGCAAGTAACAGTCCAAATGCTATGATTCCACATTTTCAGGTACGTCACTAATATGGTTGAATCTAATACTTGTGCCAGCTTACTGGGACACTTTTGGAGGTTTTATAGATTTTAATTCTCCTGTACTTCAAGAAAATACCGTGACAAGTGTAAACCCATGGTAAATTTGTTATTTTGCATTTATCCATGTCACGTAACAAATTAAAGTATTGAAATCAAAGTTTGCCTTGCGAGTTCTCATTTTTCTGACTCTAGTAATGTGTTCAAGCCAATAGGAGTAAATTATTTTTTTACAACCTAACAGAAGCAAAGAAATAACCTGCTTGGCATTTTCTGAGAGTTTACTTGCGCTTGGCACCAGTTATTTGCTCGCTTGATAACAGGTCGTTGTTCATTGTCCCACTTTTTGCACCACTTCCGTTTGTTACTGTTTTATCGTGTCTTACGGCACAGCAGCATCAAATTCCTCACACTTGGACAAGAATTTATAGCTCGTTTTCCTTTAAGCTTCATTTTCTCTTGTAGCAAGAGGATCTTACTTCCCTTGGTAAGCTTGTCCTTGCCTTGGCGTGTTATTCTCTTCAAGCTGTCCAACGTGAACACATTCAACAGTCATTGGAATACATGGCTATGAACTACTCGTCAGATCTTAAAAATCTTATTCTGTGAGTATTCTGTGGTTCCCTCTAAAGTAACACTTGTGGAAGGGAAAATGTAAGGTACAGGAGATCATTTTCTAGGTATGTTACCGCGGGAGACCTTGTGCTTAGAGGTTAGTGCGCTTGAGTTCGGATCAAGAGGTCTGGGTTCGACCAGTGACCATGTTATTGTGTTCACTCATCGTGTCCCTCCCCTCCCATGAGTATAAATGGCTACTGGAAACTGTCGGGAACTTGACAAAACGGAGAGGGGCTGCTTTTGGTGGACTTGCAAATTATGTAGGAGTGGCAATGTTCCCAGTCACTTCCTGCCACAGAAACTGGGATGAACTGTTATGATGTTGGACATTTTTCTCAATCTTAAGCACGGTCAGAAGACCTAAAACTACAGAAGCAGAGCTTTGTCTTGTCATTTGGCTCTGTAAAGTTTTGTTAAATCCAAAATTTTTCTGTTTTCGTGAAGTCCAGACTTTACTTTCTCCAACAGATACCTTCTCAGCAGTCCTGTGCCAGCAGCTCACATGAAGACCGTGAATGACATTATGCCGATGATTGGAGCCAGATTTTATACACAACTGGACGCTGCGCAAGTCAAGTGCGATGTTTTAGAGGGCGAACTGGCTAAGGTAGTGTATTATAATTTGTAAGCACCCGGTAATTGTTCAGCAATCTTTGTTTGGTACACCGATATCTTCGAAAATGTCCGTCATTCTTCGTAATTTTTTGAGAAATAGCTCCGAGGCCTGAGTTTCGTTGTATTTACTTTCAAGGCGTCTCGTTGCGATGTTTAGGGAGACCTTTCGTGCGACCTTCATGTAAGAAACAACAAACTATTCGGTAGGTAAGATAAAAAAAACAACAAAATAGGAAGAATGGAACAAAAAGCATCAAGGATGAACTAAGGTGACAAAGATCATAGTGGATTGGAAATGAGCATTTAGAAAAATTTCAGCAGGATTTTTTCAAGACACGCAACCAGGAGATACTCCTTCAAAGTAGTTGTAGACGTACTTAAAATCAATCTGAACGTACATTTAACGATTTTATTAGGCTTTGGGTATTTGTATGTTTAACGTCCATGGCAAAAGTTTAGCTTGAAATTTTTTTTTTTTTTTTATCAGGAAATGGAGAACGGCCGCCTTTTCAGAATCCTCTGCAAGATTGGAATCATCAATGAACGGCCAGAGTATACAAGCTTTTGTTTTATTGCGTGTATATGAATAGTTTGTTTTACGCTTGTACTCTAGACGCGTTCGGACTGATTGACTTTCGCCATAAGCAGATTTTCTTTTCTTTTTGTTTTTCGAGATCTATATTTTTGAGGATCGATGTGTATCCGCAAAATCCCGTACATTTCTCATATTAGGCATTAGATCCCCTATGAGCTCCCTCTGACTCGTGCCTATTCCTTTACAGGTTCACCATGGATCCAAGTTGGTCGGAGACTGGTGACCGATATCTTTTGAAGCTGTTTAGAGACTATTTGTTCCACCAAGTAACTGAAAATGGTGCACCATGGGTAGACTTGGCTCATATAGTTGCCTGTCTGAACAAGGTTAGTCCTTTGGAACATGATGGTGTTTGTGGTAAATTTTTGCGGTATTTTATTAGGTTTTATTCCTTGGGAGCAATTCTAATTTAATTGTGGAAAGTTATTAAGGAATACTGAGGTTTTGCTTTTCTACGCTCTGTGATTGATGCTGAAAACTGGCTACACTTTCTCAACCAATCAGATTCCAAAATTAAAACCAACCGCGACTTGGTCACGTGCATTTTCCCGCCCTTCAGTCAATTTGTTTGTTTTTACTTTGCGTTCTCATTAGCTATTTATGATGTTCAATTTGTTCTGATAGGCTTCGGTTTTTATTTTGCAATTCTTTACGATGAGCTCTATAAAGAGGTTCTAATATTCACAGTTTGATCCCAAACATGGGAACATTCACATTAAATAGCAACGCACATTCGAGTCAGTAAATAAGAACGAATGAATGGCACTGTTTGACTTTCTGCATAATTAAAGTGAAATTTGACTCATTTTTCCAGTTTTCGCGTGTATCATCGAGTACATATTACATTTTATTACTTTCTTTTACTGTTTCACTTTCCAGCTGGAAGCGGGGACATCTGAGAAAGTTTGTCTAATGTCCCGAGACGAACAATCCGTGTTGGTTGTTTCATATCGTGATCTGAAGCAGTGCTTCGAAGGCGCTTTTGGTGAAATAATCTCTGCTTCTCTGGCGTAAACACGCCTTTTATTTAATCGTAGATGACATAATGTTAGATTCTTTTTTAGAAAAAGTTCACCTCAAAAATAGCTCGCGTGGTACACGTGAAAGATTTGGAGTGAAAGACACGCATACGTGGAGTGTGGATGAGTTGCCCGCGAAAAAAATCTTCCATGTGCAACACTTCGGTTGTTTTAATCACAGCGACAATAGATATTTTCAGAGGTTTAGAAGGTAAAGATGGGTCGCCGTAGAACCTTACCCGCCTTTAGTGTAGCAGTTCCTTTTATGATTGAAGCTAATTTTATGCAAAATGTCTTTTTGAGTGGAGAAATCTTAGAAAAACAACTTAAACTTCATTTCCTGCGTAGATACATCAACTAATGCAGATCTGTTATCGTGCGTTTCATGTATCTTATTAACCAAGCGGGAGGGCCGTACTGGGAGAATATCGGCGCGAGGTCTTGACAGTACGGACCTCGCTGCGCTCGGTCCGTACAGAAAAGACCGAGGGCCGATATTCTTCCAGTACGGTCCCGAGCAAGCTTGGTTAATAAGAGATTTATTATACGACTGAAGTTCAAAGGGACACAAGTGCGGTATCATTCGGGACCATTCGGGACAGTGCCCGGTCCAATACTGAGAGAATATTGACCGGCAATAGAGCATTTTGATTGGTTGATTTTAGTTATTGGCCCTCTGACTGCCCGAGTCGTGTAATAAAAGTGACTTATCATGCATTTTTGATAGGATAGTAATGCGAAAAGAGGAAAAGAAAGTGCGACATTGTCGTGAACATCGTTTAGAAGTTAAAACTAAAGGAAGTTGTTCATTTTCCCAGTCGATACTGGTGCACTTGGTAAATATTATATGAGTTGATTTTATAAGTTCGACTATTGACGTAGCACCAAAATTTCTATTGAAAACTACCTCCACCCCCTTCCCTCACCCCATTTATCTTTGCAAAGCAACACGTCGCGCTGAGTTAGAAACATTTTTTT